AACACGGGGAGAACATGCAAACTCCACACAGAAACACCAACTGACCCAGCCGAGACTCAAACCCGTGATCTTCTTGTACCACCGTGATAAATAAATATATTTATCTCCAATTTATAAATATTGTATAAATATTTCTTCATAAATATAAATATCTATGTAATATAAATATAAATAATATTACTCACGAGTTTAAAGTGTAAACATTGGAGTTTTGTGTCTGAAAATGTGTTTATTTTTGTACAACTATTTGTTTATTATAAAAAGGCAGGAAACAGCCTCAGTAAAAGCATCTCTGAGGTTTTTATCCACGGCGGTGTGAACGTTTCTGCTCATCTTCAGGATTTTACAACAAGCAATGCAGTGACAGCACAGAGCAAACATTCCTGGACGGATTTAATCACTAACATTATGTGATAGAAGAGTAAAAGATTAAAAAAGATAAAGGATTGTTATTCTGATAATAGTATATGTAGTAAACACTCACCGGCCACTTTATTAGGTACACCTCACTAGTACTGGGTTCAGAACTGCCTTAATACTTGGTGTCAGAGAAGAGTATAGATTTGTTTTCTTGAGGGTGTTGTTGGTCGTGTTGTGATTGGATTCACTGATTTTTATAGTGTATTTTGTATGATGTTTATTGATATTAATCTTGTGATGCTTCCCTTCTGTAATGTGTGTTTTATTCTTTGTTGTCGTTTCGTGGATGTTACATATTTTGTGTGTTTTATTTTGTTTTCTTGTGTTATTATTAGTATGTGACTGTGATACACTGTGAGACCTTCTTATAAACGAGATTATACATCTGAATGCTAATAAAATGAATGTACATTTGTAAAGTAACAGCCAACTAGAACACACACACACACACACAGCTGCAGGACGCTGCACCTACTCAGTGCTTGTTTGCCTTTAGATATTAAAATCACTGTTATCAATCTACAGTACAAACACTGTCTGCTCTGGAGTGACTGATCATGGAGAAGCGCTGCGCTCTCTAGTGGACAAACACACTAACAACACTTCACAATTGAGAAACACCCATACACACTCATTCACACACACACTCACTCATACACTACAGCCAATTCCCCTATAGCGCATGTGTTTGGACTGTAGGGGAAACCGGAGCACCCGGAGGAAACCCACGCCAACACGGGGAGAACATGCAAACTCAGTGCTAACCACTGAGCCACCGTGTCGCCCTACTTTGACAAATGACAAACAAAAATCATTAACTAATTTAAACAGACAAAAACAAATGTTGATGCGTAACCAAAGCAGAAGAAAAGCGAATCAATGCGAGCGTTCACACTCAAACCAGATCTACTTCAGATCCATCTCAGGTTTACACCCCAAGACAAGTGTAATCGTCTCACATGGGGTCCAGATTTTCAGATAGAGGTAAATTTGTTTTATATTCACACATTCAGACTTTCTGCTGAATAATATCATGTCAGGAAAGTTTTCTTTGCTAATTCTAAATAGTGAAATCATATTAGCTGTTAATGACTATCACAGTCCAGCATTGATCAGTCAATCAGACAGTGTTAATGTTGTGTACAAGTCATCCCTGCGTGCTATTTGAGACTCAGTATTCAACTTAAACAATATATGGGCCATTAAATGAACGAATGTGCGAATATCAAGCCTACTTTACCTCAGTGATTTCCAGAAATCACCTTTTTAAACAATATTTAGAAGATTTGAAGTACAACACCACCAAATCTGTTCTGCTGTCCACATTCGTCTTACAGCTCACATATAAACATTTGAGTGTATAAACATACATCTAAAACAGAGTACTTACAATATACAAATAAGAAACAACATAAAATGAGGCAAATTTAAAACTAAAATGAGTCTACTAAAAACTGAGTCCACACACACACACACACACACGCGCGCGCACTCAGCTTGAATGAGTAAAGTTAAACGCTGCTGACCGTTCGCGCCGATTCCTCTCATCGTGTGCAGATTTTCTCGCTCAGACTTTAAATAATGGAGCGTTTTGATCTTTTTATCACTTCATTCGTCCTGTTTTAAAACTCTTTCTCCTTCTCCCGTCTGGTTTTCATCGACATTAATCCACCAGCTAAACCGAGTCCATTAGTGTTCGAGCGAATCGTTCATTTGAGTCGATTCTTTTTACATGATTCAGAACAGTAAGACACTGACATATTAGACTCTATTTGGAAACAAATGAAACACTGAAGACAACATAATGGTGATTTTGCCCCTTTTTATTAGTTTGTTTGTTTTTATTTATTTATATAATTTATGTATTTATTGTTCATAAATAATGTCTGTTTGACTAAAACTTAAACAGCAATGAATGAATCATGTGTGTGTGTTTGTGTGTGTGTGTGTGTGTGTGTGTGTGTGTGTGTGTGCGTGCGTGTGTGTGTGTGTGTGTGATGCCTCAAGGACTTTGATCTATCATCATGTGACACGCTGAAGCTAAAAAGAGTCTTTGTGTCTCTTTCTCACACGCCGAGCCAAAATCATGTCATTTATTAAAAACAAACAAAAAATAGACTTAAACATAGTTAAGAATCACTTTTTGTTTCTGTCACACACACACACACACACACACACACACACACACAAATAATCATGATGTTTTATTTCTCACAACTTTGACGTGTTTTCCAGAGATGGGATGCGGTTGGAAGGGCACGTGCTGGAAAAAAATCCTGGAAAAGTTGGCGGTTCATTCCGCTGTGGCGACCCCGGATTAATAAAGGGACTAAGCCAAAAAGAAAATAAATATATGAATGAATGAACTTTGGCGTAATAATAAATAATACAGCTGAATAAAGTTGAAATGGCAAAAAACAAATTCAGAGTTGTTGTAAAGCCCATAACTGAGCAAATGCTAGAAATAAATGTAACATAAAAAATAAAAATGCGAGACAAACGCTACAAAATCTGAGAAATAAAATGAGGATTGTGAGAACGCCTAAAAACAAGTAAATAAATACTTAACTTAATATTTAAATATTTAAATAATCAAATATATACAGAACTGAGGAATAATAAAGTCATGATTACCTTTCACACATAAAAAATTGTCATTTACAGTAAATACTGTAGTGTTCTTCACCCAAACTATAGTAAAGTGTTTTAATCTGTTGTGGTGATTCTACAGTTGCTGTGGTAACGACAACAACTATAGTAATTGAGCTGTTGTGGTGATTCTACAGTCGCTATAGTAACGACGACTACACTAATTGATCTGCTGTGATGATTTTACCGTTGCTATGGTAACACAACAACTACACTAATTGATCTGTTGTGGTGATTCTACAGTTGCTATGGTAACACAACAACTATACTAATTGATCAGTTGTGGTGATTCTACAGTTGCTATGGTAACACAACAACTATACTAATTGATCTGTTGTGGTGATTCTACAGTTGCTATGGTAACACAACAACTATACTAATTGATCTGTTGTGGTGATTCTACAGTTGCTATGGTAACACAACAACTATACTAATTGATCTGTTGTGGTGATTCTACAGTTGCTATGGTAACACAACAACTACACTAATTGATCTGCTGTGGTGATTCTACCGTTGCTATGGTAACACAACAACTATACTAATTGATCTGTTGTGGTGATTCTACAGTTGCTATGGTAACACAACAACTATTATAATATGAACAAATGCCCCAGTACTGTAGTGTTCTACGTGTATGAGGTATATTATCCTGCAATACTCCACAGTTTACTGCAGTAAACACTAAAGTACAGTATTTATTTCAGTAGATCAGCTCACTATAGTAACACTGCAGTGTGCTGGAGCATTCATTAACAAAGCATTGTAAAATCTCCAATGAATACAATATAATACACTTTACTATCGGGTGGTTCAAACACTCCAGTATTCAGTAATAATTGCTATAGTGTTTTTGTTACTCTGGATCGTGTGGAGACACGGGAAAAATACATTTAGATTTTGATGTCTGGCATTTTAATATTAGCTGTAACTCTAGTGAGGGGCTTGCTGTTGTATGTTTCTGTCTAAATAGGTTTTTTGGAGCACTTGAACCTGACAGGTGAACAGAAGTCGGCTGTTGTTTTGTTACGTGTGTTCGTTATGTCACGTGACAGACCTCCAAACAAAGAGATGAACTTCCGGTTCTCCTAGACTCCGCCCACTCAGGAACACGCCGCGGATGGTGATAGTTGCTCTTCTTCTTCTTCTGGTTTGCGTTTCGCGTCTTTTGTGTTGTTTTAAACTTCCTCGAGTTGTCCGGTGTGTGTGCGCGCGCGCGTGTGCAGTGATTCCTGCGACCGGAAACAAGCGTTTGTGGGGAACACACTGACCGCAGATCAGCTCCTGATGAGAGAGAAAGAGAAACGACAAAACACACACACACACTGCTGCTGCTGTTCTGCAGATGAAGACGTGTCAATAGACTCTCTCTGAGACACAAACACACACACACACACACACACACACTTATGCCTGAGAGTGTGTCGCCGGAGCGGAGATGAGGAGTCTTCCGTGTGTGTGATGACAACACTGGGTAGAGTATGATTTTATTCACATTAAACCAACAGCTGTCTGTCTGTCTGTCTATCTTTGTGTGTGTGTGTGTGTGTGTGTGTGTGTGTGTGTGTGTGTGTGTGTGTGTGTGTTTGAACTTGTGTGCATGCATGTGGTGTGCTTATTTAAGTGTTTTGTGCGTCAGTCAGTGTGTGTATTAGAGTGTCTGTCAGTCATTGTGTGGGTGTGAGTTTGTGTGTCAGGCAGTGTCTTTGTGTGTTTGTGTGTCAGTCTGCCTGTGTGTGTGTGTGTGTGTGTGTGTGTGTGTGTGTGTGTGTGTGTGTGTGTGTGTGTGTGTGTGTGTGTGAGAGAGAGAGAGTGAGTGAGACAGAGAGAGTGAGAGAGTGTGTGTGTGAGAGAGAGAGTGTGTGTCTTTGTGTGCGTGAATCTGTGTGTGTGTGTGTGTGTGTCAGTCAGTCTGTCTCTGTGTATGTGTGTGT